AAAATTGAGGAAAAAAATATGGATGTTTGGGTTAACTTTTTGACGTTTGGGTTAACTTTTTGACTTTTTATAAAAAAATGTGTAATAAAAAATTGTAAAAAGGGAAAAACCAGGATTGGGAGTTGTGCAGCCGTAATTGTTGACTTTTGGTGAATAGTGTTAACTTTTTAACTTTTTGAGTAACTTTTTAGATTTTTGATTTTTTTACAATATGTCAAACTTGGCCTTAGTTTTGTCCCCTTTCAATAGTGCACTTTTTGGTGAAAAACAAAAAGAAAGTGCAGCACAGTGCACTGGCACGGACAGTGCTCAGAAGGCTATGAAGGAAATTTTGCTGATTGATGCAATATTTTAATACACATAAAAATACATCTTTTTTTCTTCTACTTTTTTAATCGAAAAATATACTTATATAATTCATCCCACCTAAATAGACTACTCTGTCCCTGAAGATTACACTTTCTGATGTTGACAGGCCATGAAAGAAAGGATGAGTAATCTTGCCCAGAGCCTGGGAATGCCGCAGGGACTTGGTGAGGGATTGAAGTGACGCTGACCCATTGACGGAGTTGAGCTTCAATTTTTGTATATGAGCTTTTTGTTGTAATGGCTATTTATGTGGTGACCTTTGTCAACCTAATGGTTAAATTTTCAAATTACATTTCCTTTTTCTTTATTTATTTCTGGCGACATTTCAAGGCTCCCTCTGTTTCTTGTAGTAATTTCTGGCTATATAGAAAGCAAAAACAGCAGCAATTCATACTTGTTTTTCATTAGTCTCTCTCTCCTGTCAGAAATCAATATCTGACTATTGCATTGTTGAGTTCTAACTATGGTACAAGTCTTCCATGGTATAGGATGCCATAAAACCTTCATTGTCTAAATTTTATTTTATTTTATTTTATTTTGGGAGCAGAATTGTCTAAATTTCAGATGGTCTGGGGACATTTTTTTTTTTTTTTTTTCTATCCAACTCAAACAATACAAAGGAGTTGTAAATTCTATATAATGGCAAAAGTTGTTTTTTCTTTATTTTTTTTTTTTTTTAGAAAGTGCAAAAAGATATTACATACAAGTCCTGTTTAGTAGGACTTATTTCCAGCTTATTTTAGTTTTTAACTTAATTTAAATTATTTTGATGTGTTTGGTTCAACTTAACAATACAACTTATAGCTTTTTGTAAATCAAAAATCAACTTATTCTTTGAGTGAGGGATGAGAAGCTTAATTTATAAGTCAAAAATCAACTTATGTTCACAACTATAAGCGATAAACTGTTAGGTTATAAGTTATAATCACTTTCCCACAGCTCTACCAAACGGACCACAATTGTATATTGATTTGGTAATAAGTTTTTTTTGATTAGATATAGTAAATTATGCAATAGTAATCTTCTATTAGTAATCTCAAAAAAAAAAAAAAAAAAAAAAAAAAAAAAAAAAAAAAAAAAAAAAAAAAAACCTTTAAACAAGGCATGTTAAAGGATTGTTTAGAATGTTTTAAATAAGTGTATTTTTTGACTTTTTATGAAATATGGGTTGAGTTTTAAATGATGTGATAAAAAGATGATGCGACTTAAATAAGATAGTGACTTTTTGACTTTTTTAAAAGATGTCAAACCTAACTTAATTATTACAGTTAGTGTTATCATATTTTAGTTATTCAAATAGACTAGCTATTATAATAACTATTTTAACAAAATTCTTTAGGACTACTTACATTTGAAAAAGTCTTGAGCGGCTTTTTAAATAATTTGTGGATATAAATAGATAAAATAAAAAGTAGCGTTGAATTATATAAATAAATAAATAGGCAAAATTTTAAAAAAAGAAAAGAAATGCTTTTTATATTTTATCTAGTAAAAAATGAAAACTATACTCAGAGTTGCACAAATGGGAGAAAATTAGATGGTCATCCTTATTTTTTAGGACAATTACACACACAAAAATAAATAAATAAATTAAAAAAATCAACATTTGAGCTTCATAACAAAAATAAACTCTAAATTTTTAATTTTATCAATTTAAATAATAATATTTCGATTTATTTTTAATTTTATCAATTTAAATAATAATATTTCGATTTATTTTCAATCTAAACCATTCGCCTATTTTTGTTAAGAAAAATTGATAGAAAAAAAATATTTTAATTATTAAACTCAATACAGATATAAATAAAATGTTGAAAATATAATTTTTCATTGAATTTAATAACTAAAATATTTATTTTTCATTTAATTTTTACCTAACAAAAATAGACAAATAATTTAAGACAAACTACACTAACAATCCTTACAATTTGAGACTTGTGTCATTTTGATCAATGACTTTTCAATTGGGATACATTTGACCTTAAAATTTAAATTTTGTCCCAACTAAGGACAATCAATAATATTTCCTTTGAAGATATTTCCTTTGCAAACCATTTCAAAGACAAATCATCATACAATTTATTTTGTATTGATTAATTTATATGTTATTTAAAATGTAATAACATTTTTTTTAATGAATAATGCTAGAACTTTTTTAGTTATAAAATTCTATTTTTTTTTTATTTTTTAGAATCTATTTTCAATTTTTTTTCCCTGAAAAACTAAAAATTAAATTGATAAAAAAAAATTAAAAATACATCATTTTTATATAATTTTATATCTTGAGAAGATAGAAAAAAAAAATGTATTAAATTAATTTATATTTTTTCAAAAGTCAACATGGTGACACCTTTAATGTCATTATTAAACTAATTCATTAAATCAAAAAATTCAAAACTATAAACATTTCATATATTAAACATATCATTTTATATATTAAACATATCAATTACACATTAAAAATCTAATATCCATCTATTACATGATAACCATCTAAAAATATTAATAAAAATAACCACTCATGATATAATCATCATCCAAACACATACTAAAAATTAATTTGTTAAAAAAAATTATCATTTATACATAATTTTATCTTTAGTAAGTAAAAATAATTTTAAAAATTCAAAAATATTTTTTTAATATTTATTTTTATCAAACTAGTTAATATTTTATCAAATTGACAACTCTATCTTTGAAATGAAATAATGGTATCTTTAATTACGAGATTCGAAATTCAGAATCAAATGTATTACAATTAAAATTTAAGAACTAAAGTGACACAAGTCACAAATTACAAGAACTGTTAGCATAATTCACCCAATGGTTCATATTGAAAATGAATAACGAATTTAAAATTTAAATTAATAAAATTAAAAATTTGTTTTGTATTTGTGTGTGTGTGTGTGTGTGTGTGTGTGTGTGTGTGTGTGTGTGTGTACAATGTAATTTGTGGATGCATGAGGAACTTTATTTTTTCAGTAGGTTTCGAATTACATGCAACTTTGTAGTAAACTTTCTGAAAAAGAAAAAAAAAACTTTAAGTAAACTTACTATCAATTATTTTATTTTTAAAATAAAATACAAAAGTGCATTATTGGGTGTGAGGAGTAACTTGGTGTTCGGGTAAGAGCCAAGTCCCAGTCACAGAAGGTACCACTCATCGTAGAACACTGAAACAACCAGAATATGCCATTGCAATAAAGATGGACTTCCTACTAATTACCAAAAACAACCTCTTGAAGCAACTCACCCCCTACCTCTTGGTTTTACGAAATGACTAATCTCATATCACGAACTATAGATCAACTTACACAACTGCAGGTGTCCGAAGCTTTGAGATCAAATTCTGTGCAACAGTATCAATGAACTCTTCTGTGTTCAAGTAGAACTCCCTCGATACCCTGCATAAACCAAAAGCATCTGAGTAAATCACATAGAAATTCCCTAGAAGTATTGACAATAAAATGGCTCTAGTAATTAGAATTGTATTTTGAAAACATTAATTAACCAATTGGATTGACCATGAAAACTGGGAAGTTGGGAACCCCTTCTCCTGTCCGTTCAACCACCAAGGTACAACATTTCAAACCAATTTACTTGGGAAAAACTTTAAAGAAAATTCATTCAAGCTCTTGTAATCACATAACTTCTTATATTAAATAAATTATGTACTAAGTCGTTAACTGATTGACAGCATCATTTGTACCCTGTTCAGAGAATTAACAATCCAATTAATTTGTATTTCTACAGTTGGTAAGCTAGTCTTTCTTAACATGTCCTAACTCCTAGGGTTTATACAGGATCCTAGGTTTGTCCCCATCCCCCAACAAGGGGGGGAAACAGAACATTGCTAGATAACAATCAAAACATCACTCATAACGGTTAACGATAATAACAATCAATAATAACAATCAAACAGGGAATAAAAAGAGAGAAAAAGTACTTGCAAAAAATAGAATAGAAACGTAATTCCTTTAATAAAATGCAAAAGAAATGCTCGATGGAATAGTTAAAGGGAGCATGCCACTTACTTGGGCCCACGGACCAAAATGGCAAGATCCTTTGTCATTTTCCCAGACTCCACTGTCTCGATGCATGCAGTCTCTAGCTTGTGAACAAAATCCAACAACCTTTCGTTCTTATCAAGTTTAGCCCTGATAAACATTTTTTTGAGTGAAAAAAGATGTATCAAGGCTACCTACCTAATTAAAATATGTAGCACTAATTTTTCAATAATATTGTAGTGAAAAAACAAAAAAAAAGAAAGGGGAAAGAAAGTGACTTGCAATCTAATACAGTTCATACACATTTACATACTAAGTCTAGTAGAATCATAGCATAAGCCAGCCAGCCTGAACCAGTGATGTAATCATAATTTACGAGACAAAATGTATAGATACATAATATAGCATGATTTTACTTTAACAGGGCAAGTTTATCACAAGTACTCAGCAAACAAGACAATTATGACAGGCATGAAACAAGTACAGTTACGACATTTTGAATTACCAATATATTATTGATTCAGAAGTTTTATTTTCATTCTTGTATTCATACATCCGTATAACTTCTCATTATTGCATGACATCAGTTATTCAGTCCAAATAAAAAATACCATAGGCAGCTCGACACACTTCCAGTTTTTGAAATTTTGTTTAAGTACAATAGTAAAACTTCTATGAAAATAAACATTATCAAACATGTCACTAGGAGTAGAAGATGTTGGCCAATTTAACTCATTTAAGGAAAAGCAGCAAACTTCACCTATGTTCTAATCCACGTGTCCATGCAAATATGGAAGCAATACTGTTTGTACTAGTTTCTTGTCCCTTCTGATGCAACCGAAAATGGCGAGTTACAGTGCCATGAGCTGCCTCAGCTTCTAGTGTCTTACCATCAGAGGACAACTGCACACGTGTTAGTGTGATTGCTTTTAGGTTCACAAGACCAGAAGAAAAAGGTTGTCAAAATAAAAATTGCGACACAACTAACCAATACAGAAGCCATCAAGCCCAACGAACCAAATCCTGCACAAAGAGAAGAAAACGTCTAAGGAAAAGTAAACATTCCAATTGTATGTGAAAGTCGACTTACATTTGCAAACTAACACAAAGTCACAAAATAATTATTGAGGCTGCATACATCATGCATGATAACAAACACCAGATTTACCAATTACCCGTCCACCTCAGCACTTCCCATTTTATTTAGACAATCTATCCAAATAAAATAATGCCAAAAAAAAAAACATGTATAATAGAAAGATAGAAGCACTACGTGCTCAAACTACAGCTAGCTTTAACCTTCATCTTGGAGGCCAACTGTATTAACAGTAACAAAATCATAACCTAAATTATCACTTATTTTTCTGAATTAGTAGATTAGATCTCTCCTCCCCATCAGTAACAGAAAGCATGGAGTAGAAAACCAGGGAGAATAGCCATTTAAAGTTCATCAAGCAAGTACATGAGCAGCTTCAATGGCTTCACTCTGGATTTATCTAGTCTTGAAATTGAAGATTATGTCAAGCATTAATCATAAATCCAAATATTAAGTTTTGAATACTAATAAGAGGTATATGCTCAAAAAGTCTCAACTTTAATATTATCCCTAAATTAACGTTTGGGGATTTTCATATATAAGGGTCTAAAATTTAAATAATCATCTTCAAGCTCTCAAATTCAAGCTGATTTTTTAAAGCAATTTATATTACTAAGTTCCAAAAGGGCGACTATGTATAAACAATAAAGTCTCTACCCCTACAAAACTATCTTAGGTTTCTATAGATATCCAAAATAATGTATAGTAATAACTCACTCTCCTTGCAACCCAGTATACAGTAAATACCAACTCCGCTGTTCTCTCGAAAGAACAAACATTCTAAAAATTCCAAGAGCAAATTTATGGTCACAAAATATTCCACGCATAATTGTCCATACAGCTTAGACATCATTACCTTGAGCAAGTAAATCACTCTGGACATCTCCATCATAGTTTTTGCAAGCCCAAACATATCCGCCATCACTTTTTATTGCATAAGCTACCATGTCATCAATTAATCGATGCTCATACCTGAATGTTTACCATAGAATTTTTATAAACCATTTGAACAATTTCAAGGAAACAAATATGCAGCTATAATTTGCAACAGATGCCAGCTAACCATATTGAATGTTCCTCAAACTTCTGCTTCCACTTCTCCTCATATATCTCCTGAAATATATCCTTAAACCTGCAACAGGAAAATTGATATAAATATTGTGCGCATTCCATTTCTTTACCTAAATTGAAAAATCGGGGAGGAACAAAAATTCAAACTAAATAAGACAATAATTTACAAAAAGAAACAAGGCAAGAATTTACAAAAGAAACCTATTCCCAAACTACAGCCTAAAGTTACCTGCCATCATATTTCTTGAGAATTGTATTTTTGGTGCTCAAGTAAAGAGGCCATTTCTTTGCAAATGCCAGTGACATTGACGATTCAGCAAAGGATCTAATAGACTTCAAATTACACAATAGTGTCAAAATAGAAAGATTAGATGTTGCAATTTTGAAAATCTGAGAGAAAAGCAACTAGACAAACCTCATCAACATTGTACATGGCAAGTGCAATGCCAGGTCCTTTAAAATCATAAACATCGAGTTCCACAGGCACGTCACCATTTTCTGGGACTGAATAAAAGAACCACACAAGTAACTTTGTAAGCATTGATACTGTTTTGACACATAGAGAGAGTTTTCAGTCCAGTTTACAATCAATAGAATATAAATCAGCTCACCAAAGACCATTTTGAGCTTTCCTGGTCCTTCAATGACAGTATCAGTGGCACGATACTGATCTCCAAAGGCATGCCTACCAATACAAATGGGCTTCTTCCAACCTGAAAATTAAAAAGTAAGTCCAAATGGTGATCCATAATACATAAATTATTAATACCTCATTTACTGATATCCCATTAAAGATGATAACAAACAAAATATTACCAGGAACAATTCTGGGAATATTCCGGCATAAAATAGGTTCACGGAAAACGGTACCTACAAAAACAAAAATTAGTAACGAAGAAAAATCAGTTCAGAGAACATTGAAGAATATAAAAATATAAGGAAATAGGTTCAGGAAAATGAATTCATGGCAAATGAATACCACAGCTTAGTCTGCCAGCATCTACACATGAATAACTTACAAAGCAAGACCATAATGAGGAGTTCACGCAAACCATATCTATATAATATTCATGCACCCAATTAAATTCCTTTAGATCTTGAAAATAAGACTGCCTTATTGTTTTTCAAAACCTCAATTAATTTATTGTGACGTAGCATATTAAAATTCAGATTACGTAGCTTCCTAATCTACTAATAAAGTCTTATGTGATATTCTACCAAAGACCTGGGATCAACTATCCACTCAAGCCTTCAGCACTATTTCATTAATAAAAGGCAAAACATACAAACCAACCCTAAAATTCAATTTCAAAAAGCACCGAATTGGGAATTATTTGTGTTATCAATATTTTTCACTTACATTTAAACAGTTATTCTGGTGTTAATTGACAGATAAAACATTCGATCACCCACATGCAGGGACAGCTACAGCCAGCAAGAGCTGAGGGACTATAATTCCATCCTGACAGCTGAGTAAATAGGTGTAGAACTAAATCATCCCAAACCAACACCTCGTCTAGGCCAAAAATATTTCAGATAAAAATACCATGTATACAATAAAAGCTGTGACACAACAAACATCTAGCTCAAAATTTAATGTTTTGATCACAATCACTATATTTACTAGAAAACGCTAGTACACACATTTGGAAGAAGTCATTATGACACAGCCAGTCCCTACCTTAAACTAATAAAGATAATTCACATAGTACAACACAATGTTTATACGAACACATGCTCCCAAAACAAGAACAAAAAACTACTAGTTTCCCAAAGAGAGAAAATCCTTTGAATGAAAAGTAGATGGAACAATCATATAAATGCACAACAACAAGAACAACAACATATGGATTCATCTTGCCATTGCAAAACAAAGAATTCAATATATCAAACACAAACCATTTAATATATTTCTGATTGTGCCATTAGGACTCTTCCACATAGCCTTCAATCCAAATTCCTTAACTCTGGTCTCATCTGCAACACAAGCAACACACCCAAACCAAATTAGACAATGTATGCTACAACTCACTGGCAAATAACAAACACAATGAATCAGATCTCAAACCACAAATACCAATGTCTCAAAAGTTTGCACTAGTAAAATTTCTTTGGAATTTCTTCAAAACTCTAAAATTCATTAATAAAAAGAACAATTTTCCAAAATCATCTAACCTGGAAGCAAATAATTCAAAACAAAACTTTCTAATTATATTAACCCAGTCGCAGAATCCAAAGTAAGCCTGCATGCCCATATTACAATGTTCCATGCTCGTTAAATACAGCATATCATTAAAAAGTATGAAAATGAAAGATATAATAACTAACCAGGAGTAATCGTAGCACATTTCACAGCAACATTGTACCTGAAAATTTTTAAAGGTTAGAATGACAATATAATAAGGTTACATTGTATTTATTCTACATAAATTAATAAGGTTACATTGTATATATTCTACATAAATTAATCCTGCATTTTCTTTTTTTTTTTGGAGAATCAATCCCAGCATACTTTCAATATCATTTGAACAGGGAAACATCCACTTCACTGTCTCTCTAAAAAACACCCTGCCTGCATAAAAGGTTCTCTACACCCACCCTAAAAAATGATGAAATCAAATTCCGATATTATTACAATGGTAAACCCCTTGCCCAACTAAGCTTTTAAACCTTTTGTTTATGAAAATGAATTTTAATATTCGTAGATTTCAACATTTTCAATTATTTAATTATGGAGAATGAATTAACAGTTATATGGGTTTCAATTTATGTTTTCAAAAAATTTAATACATTTTCAAATTCTTTTGTCAATGTCAAAGCTAAGTGAAACAACATACTGAAACAAATTTTTTATCCTTGCTTGTAAACTGACCACCAAGGCAAAACAAGTTAAACCACCAACAATAACCAAAAAAGTCAAGTTTTAAGTTATGAAATATATAGCTTTTTTACGTAATAATTGGCGTGTTACATATTTTTCATTATCTTTGAATTAGTTATTCATATATGTGACATATAATAAATTTGTAAAAATAGAAATATAAAATTTTAACATGTTGTGTTGTGTCTTGCTTTTTTTGAAAATCAACATGCCCATGTGTCCATGTCGTATTGTGTATCCATGTATGTGCTACTTTCCAGCTAGACAATCCTAGAGGGTTAGAATGAGCATAGACCTAACCTAACCTTCAGCACTGTTTGCATTGCTTCTCTCATATTCAAAACAACTGTTCTCATGCTTGCCAGACCAATCTTTTACCATGGCACCAAGAAATGGAACCTCAAAAGAAAGAATTCAACAAAGTGAGAGGCTTACTTAAGAGTGGCTTCAGCACTTTCTACAGTGACTCTATCATCAGTGGCATCGCGATTCAATATCCCTAAATCGAAATACTTAATATCTAAATCCAAATATGGAAAAATAAGCTGCAAAATCACATACAATTTAAAATAAATAAATCAAATCGTAAGAATGAATCAAAATGCTTCCAGAAATCCAAAAACTAAAACTAAAATCCGCACCTTGTCCTTGATCATCCTCCATATGATTCTAGTCATTTCATCGCCTACGATCAAACAAAATCAAAACAACAACAAAAATTGAAGTTCCAAACGAAATAATCAAAACCAAAGCTAAAAAATACAAGAAGTTACCGTCCATTTCGACGATGGGGTTCTGGACTTTGAGTTTGTTGTCGATGGCGCTTGAAGAAGCGAAGTAACGAATGGAGGCTTTGGAGAAGAGATTGTTATAGGAGAAAGAGACACGGTTCTTGGAGAAAACTCCATTGAAAAGCTTGGGATTGGGATTGGGACTGAGTGATAAGCTAGGGGTTTTTAGGGCAAATGATGTAGCTGTGGCGGCGGCGCCAGACATGGCGCAGAGGCGGAGTCCGAGCATTGGACTTTCGATGACTACTGCTGCCGCCTTTTCAATTACTCCTTGCCCCGCTTTTCTGTGCTTTTCTCGGATCCAAAACGGGCCAGTCTTTTGTTTTCTGAACACAAAACGGGCCATTCTGGGCTACCCGAATTATTTTTATTTCTTTTCCCATGGGATCAAAGAAAAAAAATTATATAATCCTATATTTTTTTGAGTCATAACTTAAAAAAAAAAAAAAATTATAATCAAACATATCAAAATAATATCATAACTTAAAAAAATTAATCATAACTAAAAGATGTGATATTATAAAATCCTAACTTTTGTAACCCATATTTTATACATATCTTTGAAATTTTCAGGCTCCGTTTGGTGGAGTTTTCAAAATCTAGTTCCACACTCACTTTTGAGTGTGGTGTTTGTTTAAGGTTTTCAAATTATAATTCTACACTCCTATATTTTTTTGAATCGTAACTTTAAAAAAAAAAATTATAATCAAGCATATCAAAATAATATCATAACTTAAAAAAATTAATCATAACTAAAAGATGTGATATTATAAAATCCTAACTTTTGTAACCCATATTTTATACATATCTTTGAAATTTTCAAGATTTGATTATGATTTTTGGAGAGAGAGGTAGATGTTAGCGCTGTCCCGGCCCACTAGGTTTATCTCAAACTTATTTTTAATAATTCAAATGGCTCATATTATAAGATTTATTAAACATATTTATATAAAAAAAATGAGAATAATCAGACATGCGTAATCTTATGATTATGGCCTAATTATTTTCAAAAAAAAATTATTAAAATTACGCTAATAGTTGTTTTTTTAAAAGCATAAATGTGATGTTGTTATGGGTTACAAATGCGCAAATAAATTTTTTTTTTCCCATAGATGATCTACTCAACAAAATTTACAAGTTTTTTTTTTTTTTAAGATGCTTGATATTAAGATTTTATAGCATAAAAGACATTCAATATTTTCATAATGTCTAAGGTCCCTCAACATTAATCCAAATAAATTTCAATCTAGAGAAATTATTTCCAAAGAAATTCTGGGACTTCCCAAAGAATTTCTTTGGGTTCAAACTAGAGAAAATTTAAAGCATTCAATTTTCTTTGAACTTAGAGAAACTTCAACTTTCTCTGTGTTGTTGAATTTTCTCTGTATTGTTCAATTTTCTCTTATTCGAACTCAGAGAAATTTGAATTTTCTTCGGTTTGAACCTACAAAAATTCTTGATATCTACAATTCAATCTTCCCACTCTCCAGAGAAATTCACTATTCTCCATTTGGAATACTTGTATATTATTCACCATTACAGTGGCCCAGAGAGTGATAGAGAGAGAGCTTTATAGCAATGCCGTTTTATGGAGGTGAAGATGAGGCGTGGACATGTTCACAACACCCTTCGAATAATCAGATTAAACAAATTAACAGAAGCCAAATTCAATTGCTTTAAAGTAATAGAACAAACAATTAACCTTTTAACACTGTAAAACGCAAATATACACATGAAAACTCAATCAATTTTCTCAATTAATTTGTTAACAAACCTCATTATCTGCATTGCAGTGGTGCTTATAAATTGGCTGAAAGAAATGATCCTACTCCAACAGAGGATTTAAGTCACCATCTTGATCGGAAGCGATGGCCATAGCGACGCGATGGAGGCCATCGAGCTCTGTCTGAATGGCTTTGTGGAAGAACAAAAAAATCAAAATTGGCGACCTAAGAAACGAGTTCTTGATACAGAGCTTGTTGGACTGATCGAGCTAGATCAACAAGAGAGAGAGAGAGAAGAGTAGCGAGGAGAGAGAAGAGAGAAGGCATAAGTCTAACAAAGAGGGGAGAGAGAGAGAGAGGGGTAAGGGTTTGAAGCGAAAAAATATATGAAATTTCTCTCTGTGATACAAGGAGTTTAGACATCATAAAATAATATTGTGAATCTTTTTCATTATTAAAAATGAGAGAGGGATCTTAAACTAATTTTTCCAATTTACATTATGAATGATTCAAATCATTAAAATAGATTTGAGACACACGCAATGCTACGGGTGTCACAACACCAACCTCCCACTCGATTTAAAAAAAATCATATTTGCAATCCAATCTCATTCAGAAAGTGGAATTTTTAAATACACTCAATAAATATCTTTCTATATTTACTTTTCCAAAAAAAAATAAAATATAGAGAAAAATCGGCTTATCTTTGTACCCACTATCTTTTGTAATCCACATGCTTCGTTTTGTGGACCTCATTCCAAGTACTCGTTCATTTTGTAAACCTCACAGGTAATTAATTCAGACAAAAGTATTTTGAATTAAGTGAAAAAAATGTCACGCTCTTCATCTCTTTTGGTTGTCAAGGTCTTGATGGTGACTTGTGAATCAATTGTACAGATGACCACTTCTTGCAGCCCTATGTGTATATATCAACCTTGCTTATATTTACTTACTTGAAACTAAAGACTTTTTAATACAAGGAAATGAGGTGCAAGAATTCACTGCTTGTAATATTCTCAATTGTTCCGTTGGTCTTGAAATTGCACTTTCTAGTACTTGTTGCTAGTTCAGAGTTGGAAAAAACTCCATTCATGGTGGAGAGCAATTACAAGAGCTGCAACAACTTCAACTGCAGATCATTCAGCAACGACGACATCAATGGCTTCAGATTGCGTGGCAATCATGCATCTGAAGAAGAAAAGAGAGCCACTCCATTCATGGTGGAGAGCAATTACAAGAGCTGCAACAACCTCAACTGCAGATCATTCAGCAACGACGACATCAATGGCTTCAGATTGCGTGGCAATCATGCATCTGAAGAAGAAAAGAGAGCCACACCAAGCGGCACAAATCCACTTCACAATCGTTGATCGCTTCTCAAGTCTGCTGTTTATTTTTTTTTATTTTCTCGAGCTCTTCTTCCCCTTTGGAATAACTTTGGCTGTGTGTTGGGGAGATTATATCTGTGAGAAATGGAATTATAACAATTATGTTTTAAAAAAGTACTGCTACTTTGCCAACATGACTGAGCTCAATTGATTTTCATTTTTTATTTTTTGAAGGCAAGAGATTGCTAATGTACTACTGCTTGTAAAAAAAAATCTTATTGTTGAATTTTGGAGTTAGACTTTATTAAGGGAGAATTCAATAAAATAAAATAAAATAAAAGGAACAATGAGATTAATAATAATAATAAAAACAATGAATATGTTAGCAAAAGCATAGAGAATTCAGCTTCTCTCCTTAATTTTCCTCTTACAAAAAAAAAAAAAAAATTGCAATACACATCTATAATTTATTTAGCGATTTCAACCATTATGACACAATAATTAGCAGTAAAAGATTTTTACAATATGACATTGTACTTTGAATTTTTTTTTATTTTTTAATTTTTGATGCACAGGACACTTTCAAGGTAGGATTCTTATGCCCCGTTTGTTTTTAGAGGTAGAATGGAGGGGGTTGATAGTGAGGGGATCAAGTAAAATTGTATTTGTTTTGATGATAGCTGTTAGTGTAGGGATTGTTAAATTATTTTTATATAAAATAAATATAAAATAATAAAACAAATAAAAAAATACAAAAACATTAAATATTAATGTTTAAAAAAAAAATACCCAACATGTAAAAAATTTAAATAAAATAAAAATAAAAATAAATTCAGAAAAAAAGAAAATAAATAAAATAATGATTTTTATTTAACAAAAATAATAAAAAATTAAACATTAATGTTCATGTAAAAATGTCCGACATGTAAAAAATAAAATTAAAAATTTATAGTCCGCCGGACTATTTTTCTAATACCAAGTCCTGGAGGCCCATCCGAATCTCATCTGCAAGGCCTATCTTAAGCCGTTCGGCTTGTTAGTCCCTTTCTCAATTCTGTAAACAAACAATACATTAAATGGGGCCTACAACTATCAAAATCTCAATCCTTCCCTTATATCCCAAAACAAACGGGGCCTTAACATCCATCCTTATAAAGCTAAACTGGAAAAAACTAATTGATTCACTAAATCATCGGACTTCTACTTGAATAGTAAAAAATTCGAATTCTAATTAATAAGGAGATGGTCAAATTTCCTAATGTCCTTTAGTGATTAGTACTTGTCAGGTTATCTCTTATAAATTCAACAAAAAAAAAATATTAAATATTATTATTTTAATCAATAAAAGTTTAATTAAGACACCACGATACATGTGTCCAAAGATCGCCAGAGAATTTCCCTAACCAGGCAATCTTTTATTTCGTCTTACTGTTTGGAGCCAAATCGACCTTTGGCTGCTAAGAATGAAGGGAAGAGAGCGACCACACGAATTGCCAAACCAATGATTGAAAGTGACTTTCCCTTTTATCCAAACAAAAATCACCCTGTACTTTTTGCAGGATAATTATACAGGATTTCTCCCTTTTGTTTGAACAAATAAGAAATGGGTCATGCTACATCCTCAAAAAAACATCCCCCTAATCTAGGAATGGCAACGGGGCGGGGCGGGGCCGGGGATCACACTCCCCGTCCCCGATCCCCGATGCTCGAATTTTCCCCGGCCCCGGCCCCGATCCCCGACGGAAAAAAAAAAAAAAAGAAAAAAAAAAAAAAAAGTTGCCCAAATTAGAAATTAAGGGGATTAGGGGAATGCTTTTAGGGCTCCAAATCATTTCCCATAAGAAAAATAATAAAATAAAAATTAATGGTTTATTTTCCATTTTATTTGATTATATTCCCAAAACTTTTACATATTCATTATGCCCCTAAGATCATCTCCAACGGTTCATCAAACTTTGCATTATATTTGAATTTTGGTAAAAAAGTCACTTTTTGGAGCTCTAATGGTTTCACTAAATTGGTATCAAAATGAGAATAGAACAAAAAATTCACAGGCACCAGATTTCACCATTTCACTGTGCGTTACCGTCGGGGTGGGCCAACCGGTCAACTATCCGGTTGTCCAGCTAGTTGACCCACCAGTCGACTGGTTCCCTTTCAAATGATAGGTTCAAACCGGTCAAAAAATAAAAAAATAAATAAAAATTGCATTTGCCGGTCGACCCTTCCTTTTTGATGCACGGTTGGAGCAAACCATATCAGATTGAGAATATTGACTTTTTTTACTCAAATTTGGTAAAAAATTTGGTTCACCGTT